CCTGATGATGAGAGCCCTAACCCCGCTTCCCCTTGGGAGCTTGTAAGCCATGTTTATAAACTGCCCAATTTTTAAAAAAGCCTCTCAGCCCAGCCGCAGTAACTCATGCTGGTTGGCGCTGCTACTTGGCAGGCTTATATGGGAGGTCATATGGGAGGCCCAGGATCCTTTCCTGGCCTACTCCAAAAGTCAGATGTGGTGGTGAGCACCTATAGTTCCAGTAACTGGGAGGCTGAAGCAGGAGGATTGTGACACAGAGACCCATCCTCTCATCATATTTTATGGCTCAGTGCTAGACAGGCATTCAATGTGGAAAGTGCATAATAATGGGTTTACTCCATAGCACTGTCAGAGAGGAGACAATATTAACAACTCTGGCTTGTTCTGTCTTATCTCCTGGATCCCCCAACCTTAACCTTATCCCAGCTCCAACTTACCTAGGGTTTCATAGGGAGCTGGGGTCTGCAACAAATGCTACCTTGCTCTTCTATTCCATTTACTCCAGAGAGTTCCGTTATCATCCCAGGAAGCCATGATGGACCTATACTTGCCACATAATTGTCTGGTTGCCTCCTGTCCTGTCTGCTGCTTGGTTTGGGTTGGCAAACTCCCAACTTTCCCTGTCTCTGCAAAATGTATAGGCTCATTTTTCTCCTGATCTCTTCCTTCTTTTCTCTAGACCATATTTTTCTTAGTCAAATGCCTCTTTTTCAGGAACCTTTGGCTGCCAATCCTCTCAGACATAGGATCCTAGGAAAGTTGACTTCGCTCCAAAACAGGTAAAAAGAGGGGGCAAGATATACTAATGGTAACACCACAGAACTGTACATATCACAGAGTTCAAAAAGACCATACATTACATGCTCTAGTAAGCCTGAATTCCACCTCCTGTGGCTTTTACCCATGCCCAGAGATCTTCTTATATGGAGTTATCCCCCCAAGCATCAAAACTACCTTTCCCTGGGGCTCCCTCAGAACAATTCCAATCATCTGCAAAACTTCAACACATCAAGCCAATCAGCACAGCTGTAAAGCTGTGGAGATATTAAGCCTAGGCAAGAAGAATTTAGAGGGTGCCTCCAAACACTAAACTCACAGATTTTTAGACATGGGAATCATGTCAGACATTACTAGAAATGGACAAATCACCACATTAATAGAAAAACACAATGCACCAACTGTCTTGAGTGTGGGTATGTATGTTCTGTGTTCCCCAGAATGGCTATTGAGCAAATACTGGCTGATAGAGATAAAAGCAAACTTCTACTAGCTTTTTTTATACCTTTGAGGCAACAGGCCTGGTGGCATAGGTGACCGAGAAATTTTAAGTAAACTTCAAAATGTATGTACAGATTTGGAAAAGGATCTGAATGATTGCTTGGGAAAGTTGAGGGGCTCAAGAAAGGTAGCACCGAGGATGAGGTTTTCTAAGCACTCCAGAATGTGATAGTGTGTTCCTGGTTTCTCCAAAATAAATATTGAAGTGTTTCAAAACAAAAACACAAAAACTTTAGTAAATTCAAGATACACCACAGCAAGGACGCAAGCCAAAAAGTATTCTGAGACTCTTGGGGACGTACCAAATTCCTTTCTGTTGCTTCCTGACCTATATTTGTCATAATTTAAATTATTAATCTCAGCCCCTCAGTAAACCTGGACTTTGTCAGAGTATACACCAGCCACACCTCTGCACCCCCCACCAGCTGCACTGTGAGGTCTTGACCGGAAAGTCCCAGTCAGCCCTCCCCCTGAGTCCCCTATGATCACCTACTTTGAAGTCTGTTCCCCAGCAGTGAACCTCTTCCTGGTAAAATAGTGGCCTTGAAGTCTGTTCCCCAGCAGTGAACCTCTTCTTGGTAAAATAGTGGCTTTTCCAAGTTTTATTACACACTCCTAAGGCCCCCACTCTAGGCCTGGCTTTTCCAAGTTTTATTACACACTCCTAAGGCCGCTACTCTAGGCCTGTTCACACTACATAAATGCCTAGGCCTACCCGCACCCCAGCCTCCACTGCTTCCCACCAAGTTTCACCCAGACCTTGCCACTGACTCTGAAAGCCAACACCCTGGCTTGAACCACAGGGCAATGCTCAGTAGATGCCCCCCAGGTAACCTAGATCACAGCATGAGGCCCTACCCTGGCTGCTTTTCAAGAGCCCTTGAACCACATTTAAGCAGGAAACTGGTGGTTCCAGGGGTGAGTGTGGCAGAGACCTTCCTCTTAAAAGTTGTTTTACGTGGTCTAGAAAGTCCTTCACTCCAGCATCAGGCAGCCTGTGTAGTCGTAAGACCACCCTTCACAGCCACTCAAGCTGTCTTCAAGTGGGGCCTGCACAATGCACCTGTGCCAATAGGTCACGAGGTCTGAGGCACCAAGAACCCCAAAGCCCCTTCTGCCAGGGTAGACCAGGGAAGCTGAACTAAAAACACAAATCAATGATTGGGAGAAGTAGAAGAGGCTCTCTCCAAGGGTCCAGGACTCCACAGATGGATGTTCTAGATTTCAAAGTTTCTATTTTCGCTTAATCGGCTCTCTCAGATGGCAGCAGAAACACACATGGAGGGTTGGTGAGAAGAAAGAACCCTCAGCCCCAGGGCAACACTGTGAAAAAGCACAAGTTCTGAATTATTAACTTGAGGCGGGGGGTGGGAGAAACCATGAGAGGAAGAAAGCCTTGAGGGAGAGGGCATCCCAAGACCCCTGTTCCTTCAGAGACCTCTCACCAGAACTGCAGTGGGGGCATTGCCAGTGGCTTGCCAGGGAAGCAGGATGGCTCCTCTGATGTCTCTGAGCTCACAGGCAGCCTCAGTGCGCACGCCTGGGGGTCTTGAGGCCATGGTCCTGGACAGAAGGCTATGCCCCCAACTTGCTAGCCTTAGAAGAGGAGACCAAGTCAGCCCCAACACGAAACGGGAATGGCGGAGCCGGCATTCCGGCCTAAAACGGAAAGAGGCATCCCGCAGATAGCGGAGAGGCTTGGGACTCCGGGAAGGACACCGCTGAGGTGGGGGAGGTGCTGTGAGCCCCAGCGTACAGCCTGCCGGCCGCCTCCTGACTCTCTGGAGGGCGCCTCCCAGCCGGCTTTGGAGCTTGGTTCAGAGGGCACGGAAATCTGCTCGCTTCCCCAGGGCAGCAGAGGATAGTCGGCCCAGGAAAGCTGAGGGCAAAGAGAAGCGCGCACACCCCGGCTCGCACTCCCTCCTTCCTTTTCTCTCCTGCAGACACACCGCCTGCCATGTGTTTGACTTCGCTCAGAGTCACCAGGATTCCTAAAATGTTTTTGACAGAAAACACCTCCGCTCCCCAAAGGAACTGGGGCTGCCGAGGAGATTCACAGTATTGTCCTCTGAGAGCCCGCCCTGCCTACCAACTCTCTTTCCTTGGCGACTTTGTCTCTCCTCCTCGCCCCAGACCCCGCAAAAAAAAAAAAAGCAAAAAACACCTTCAAATATTTTTCCCCAGCACACTCAGGCAAAGTACTCCAAACAAATCCAAAAGGTAAGTCTGGATTGGTCCCAGGGCAAAAAAGTGTATTCCTTGTCTGTGATCAATGCATATTCCAGTTACGAACTCCAGGACATCCTTCATCTAGTCTCCAGAGCCCAGACTGCCAATACTCTGCAACGTAGCAGGGCCATGGGCAAGGGTCAAAGGGGGAAAGTGGCTCCTCGAACCTGGAGGTATGGAGTCGGTGACAGCGGGAGCGGACACCGTTGCCCAGAATGCTAGGTGGGACGCGCGGGGCCACTCACCTGCTTGGAACTCCACTTGGCGATTTTTCTCTTTTTCCTCCTCTAGCAGCATGGAGTAAAGGATACCGACGGAGTTATGGATGCCGAAGATGGAGCCGTTGCACCAGGTG